TATTTCACTTAGGCAAATGACTATAACTATGTGAGTGCAAAAATAAGATCCAATTTGTTAATATTATGTGATAAACTGAAAGGCAAAGAAATGTCTCGGTTCTCTGATCATAGCTTCAAATGCTTTTCAAGAAAATCTATTTAAAATGCTTTTGTTTTCCCACTATGATATAATTTCCTTAATCTTTTAATGTATTGCAGTGCAACTTTGTGTAGTATACAATACCAACTCAAACATAAGATAGACAGAGGTCTTTAAAAATGCCTACTTATATGTATATTTAAACATTTACATATTTATATAAATATGTAGATAAAATACTATTAAATTGAAAGGTAAAAATGATGAATTACAAACTGCCTCTGACAGAACAGAGATGCTTGAACAGACATTGATTAGGACCATAGTACTTTTTTCATTGTAAAACTCAGAAATATTCTTAAATCATATATTGCTAGCACATACAATCAACCCTACTAGGTTTCCAGTCTTTTTCCCATACGGCTTGAAATAATTTCAGAAAGGAAATTTGAGTACCTTTGAAAGTGATTTAAGAGCTCCACTTTCCATTTAAATTGTCTTTTTTATCTTCTGCTTCTTTGTGTCAAGCATTGACAATTACTTTTATTTCAATGTCTGGCAAAGAGAGAGTGGAGAGGGAAAAATGTATCCCAGTTAAGTGAAAACTTTGTATTTTCTCCAACAGGACAGAAGTCAAGGCAGAAGCAAAGAGTGAAGTAGCTGAAGGGTTGACACTGAAGGAGTTGGAGTAACTATGTTGATACACGTAGTTATTATCAATGTTCTGTTGTTTGGGTTTTTTTTTTTTCCTATGAAAGCTAAAATACGCCTTGTATTATTTCTGAAGAACTTCAGATTCAGAGAGCAATAGAGCAGCAGAATCTTTGTTATTCACAAGTTTTTGACCTGGTACAATATTGTTATTTTATACTGACAAGAAGGCATTTCACAACCACACCTAGGACTGAGGATAGTTCTCTTTCAGAATTAACAACTATTATATATATATATATAATATATATATTTGTTAACTATCTATGTGGGGAGAGATAACACATGATTAAATACTTTTTAATGCAAGACTCCAAGCCATAATCTTTCAAATTTACCCTAAACATTACATGAATTTAGCAATATGTCTTCAACAGATCTGCCCATTCTTATCCACTGAGCAAGGATATTTCTAGAGTAGCAGGGCTGAAGCGTCAAACACTTGACTGAATGCCTGGCTTCTAAGGAACAAAAAAATGATGGGATTGGCTTGTCAGTCCTCTTCTGAAAACTTTTGGCCCACAGATTTAGCTAGGTGCAGGAACACCAACTGGAGAGTACTCATATGCTTTATAAAAATTATAACAGCGGTGTAAAGGGTAGCAACCTGACAGATATTTTCACCAAGAGGCTCCACTGTTATGCTTTCTGTGTGGTGGCTGGATAGCCAAGGAGTCTGGGCAGGCCATTCATAGCTTTAGTTAGTCACAGAATAAACCAAATCTGGAGCAGGTGAGAAGTAAGAAAGCAGAGTGAGCAATAGAGCAGGTTCTTAATGAAAACAGTTGACACGGGGCATGACAGGAATGGCAGTTACTAAAGCAAGGAGGTGTAGGAAGATGAGACAAATCCCTGTAAAACAAGCCTGCCTTCACTCCATATCTCTTGCAACAATTTTGTAATTTTTGCTTCATTTGTGTTTTGTTTTTACCACTTAAACAAGGCTGCAACTATAGAATCACAGAATCATAGAATCACTCAGGTTGGAAAAGACCTTAAAGATGAGTTTGCCTGTGTATTCAAATGTATGTATACACAAGCAAATCCACCTATTTATATAATTGAATGTAAAATAAGCTACCTAGGACTTTCTGCTGCTTAAAACGCCTTGTAGCATAATAAATACATGAGACAGAAGTTGCCTAGAGAAAGAGATCATTTAATTACGTTTAAGAAATAGCTAGCACTTTTGCATATAATGTTTGTGCATGTCCCAACCATCCAGGAGCAGATTATCTCCTGTTAAAAGCAACTGTGCTCAGTGGACACACCCACATTCACGAAGGCAAAATCCAGTGGAGATGGATTTTGAAGCAATGAAGATGCAGCTTTTAAAATGCAGCTATGGTAAGGTCTGATGTTCTTTTAAAGCTTCCGAAATATTTTGGCTGAATCCCTCACTGCCAGAGTGACTGACATTTTATTCTCATCTACAAAGTCACTGCAATATTTGCAAATGCTGATCCTTTGAAATATGTCTCTTGCACACTCCTTTCTTACAAAAGGAAGATTGGTCTTTGTGCAAATCTGCAATGGCATGCTTCTAAAAATAAGGATGTGATTGCCTCTTAGGTAGATCAATGTAGCATAGCGAGAAAACTACAGTGTGAATAGACGGAAACTGGCATACTCAGACATATACCTACCAAGAAAATGCATATGAAAATAAAAAAAGAAAAAGGAAAAAAAAGAAAAAAAAAAAAAAAAAGAAAAGAAAAAAGGAAAAAGAAAAAAGAAAAAAGAAAAAAGAAAAAAGAAAAAAGAAAAAAGAAAAAAAAAGAAAAAAGAAAAAGAAAAAAAGAAAAAAAAGAAAAAAAGTGCTGCATTTAGGAACTGTTTTAAAATGAAGTGCTGTAATAACTCTCAAAAGAAACAGACTGGAGATAAATTATGCAACTCTAGCTGATTTAAATCTGATTTTGAGGGAACTAGGGAACAGGTATTAGCTCTGGGTTTCTTCTGATTGAAACAGAAGGTCATAAAAAGAGTAAAACAATTTAAAAAAAAAATAAGGAATAGATTTATTTCAAAATTAAAGAAAGGGAAGGAAGGATTTCTGCACGTGTTGTCAATGCCATAAGGAAACGTTAATCAGTATTGTACTGACATGAGGTGATGAGAGATTTATATCTGTTAACCTGAGTGTGTGGATTAGATAAATTTCCCCAGAACTGATGATATCAGCAGATATACATTGAGCAAATGAAGTTCCAGTTGTAAAATATAGATTAGGGATGTGCGGATGTATAAGAAATGTGAGCAGAGGAACTAGTAAGATGAGTATCTCATGCAAAGGGGCCATTAGTAGAAATAAATACATCAGCAAACATGAAAATGTCAAAGCCTCTGCAGAAAAAAATGTAACATAGAAATGTGAAAATGACTCAACTGATGTAGGTCTAGCAATTGTCATAGTTAATCCAGTGAGGTAAACCTCAACCTTGATTCACAGAATCCTGCATGTATCTGCATATGCTTAAACTAGAAGCGATTCTTACAGATGTGCAAGTTTAAGTATGAACTGAAGTTTAGTTAACTGGAATTAATGAAGAATAAATAAATGACATTCGTGTTTGTTTTATGTAGTATCCTAAGTGAGGATGTTGGATTTTTCTCTAAATTGCCCCC